ACGCTCGAAATCGCGTACGCGCACCTCCAGCGCAAGGAAGGGCGGAGGAACATGTGGAAGGGCAGAAGTTCGAAACAGGCTCCGAGGAGAAGAGGCGCGACACAATACCGTCGCAATCCTTGACTCGGTCATAATCAACGGACCGCACATGCCCGTGGCTCTGCTGGGTTCCACCACGATGGACCTGACGGGGAAAACAGAGGACCGTAGGACGGGCGAGGAGGAGAAGGATGGGAGAATTACCGGTGACACCAGAAGCGAAGTCGGGGGAGACGGGAGGCTGTCGTCGGAGACGGCTGCCGTTGGCTTTCCTGATTGAATTGAAAGTGTCTCGAAGAAGGAGGTGCGCCGGTGAAAGCGAGAGGATCAACCGAAGAAAGGGGCCCTCGCTCTCAATAAGCGCCAGAAAGAGAAAAAGGATGCTGCGGTCATTGTGGAGGATGTGGTGCGGAACCCTTCCGCATAGCTGAACATCCTTAGGGCCTTTAGAGCCCTAAAAAAGGAGCAAGAGCTCATCCAAGAGCTGAGAGGGTACCGGACTCCCAAGATCTCGTCTAGGGCATTGAAGGCCCTGGGCGAGATCAAATAGGTTGCCGTGAAGTCCAACAATCTCAAGAGAACCTTTGTCAAGTTCCTCTAGAAGGCAGCCGAGACTCTTACGGCCTGCAACGTCGCCCTCGCCAATAGGATTCAATACGTACAGGGCCCGGCGGCTGATGAACAAATGAGCGAGATGGCGAGGAGAGAGGTCGAGGCCACGGCCACCGAAATAGGACGTCTCCGAAACGAGAACGCCCTGTTGAGAAGCCAGGTTCTCGACCTCGGAAGGAGGTGTCTGGATGGGCGAACACCTGCCCCATCGGGAATAGTGGCAACGAAGGAACACCCGAAGACAAGGAACTCCTCTGGGGAGAGGAAAAGAAAAAGAGTAATGGGGAGATGATAAGTCCTCTTCTTCCTATCCCATCAAGAAGAGGCGCGCAAGGAAGAGCGGCAGAAAGTCGCTCTCGACCTCCTCCTCTGATGAGAGGATGGAGGTGGATGTGGGGGGAGGCGGCAGTGGAAATAACGGCTGTCGCCGCTCCCCCTCTCCATCGAAAGTGGGGCGACAGTGTCGGGAGGAGGTGGCGTGGGACGTAGCGGGGGGAACGGTCCCCCCTGACAATACCCCCGTCAACCACCCCTCCCGGAAAGAGAGACCCGCCTGCCGAACATGGCCGAAGGATGGAGGGGAGAAGGTGCCGACCGTCAGAGAGTGGGCAGGACCAACCGGGGCCACGAGCAGGGGGCCGACTGTCCCCGGAGCTAGATCTCCAATTGGTCAAGGAGAGATTTCGGGGAGCTAGAGACCTTGGTGGGGACTTTTGTCCTCCGAATTCTGAAAGCCATGGGAATGGTCTCCCCCAGGCGGCCAGGAAAACAATCTCCACAGGATTGCAGGGATCCCGGACGCGAGGGCGGGAGGGTGCTGCTAAAAGCGGCACCCACCTTCCGATCCAGATCTTCCTCTCCTTCCGCCCCCGATAGTGCGAATCAGCTCACTGGGGAAGGCAGGAGGAAGAGGAAGAAGAAAAGAAGAGCGTGCGGGATGACACTCGAGAGGGGGTCACTTGTGGCGCTTGCGGCGGAAAGGGGTCCCTCCTCCTGAACCGGATTGGTAAATGGTTGAGAGGGGCTCCGATCCCTTTCCTACCACCCGATCCCAATCGTGGTCCCGTGTAGTGGAGAGGAGGGAGAAGAAAAAAGGAGGAATGGCCACGCAGGTCTCCTAAG